GGAGCTCGTGATACCCAAGGGAAATTACCTTTCAAAAATAGGTAATTAAAATTTTATTTTGTGCGGAAGGTTTTTAGCCTAGATCAAAAAGTCGTCTAAACGAACCTAGTTATTGGAAACACATATATGCGAGAGCCAAATGGAATAACAATGGTACAAACTATTAACACAATTGTTTCACAATTAATAGTTACTAACAAATAACTTATGCAACTTATTTCCAATCCAATTTGTTTTAAAAATAAAATAGGAAAATTTATCGAACACTTGGCGCGCAATCAATTTTTCAGATTTCCCTTTTGAGCTTTGTTGATTTAAAAACAACACTTATAATCAAAGTGATTATAAGGAGATCAAAAAAGAAATTTAAACTTAAACAATCCAAGGAAAACTCTATACGAATTGATCAATTAAACACCAAGTTCAACAAATTGCATATAGAAAGTAAATGAGTGTAAGAGATATATATATATATATATATATATATATAGAGAGAGAGAGAGAGAGAGAGAGAGAGAGAGAGAACGAATCAAGGATTTTCTTAGGAAGTTCACCAATCGTATCGCTTTGGCTATGTCTTTCCCCAATTCCGTTTTGGAATTGAGATAAATTTATTACTTTACAAGAAGATGATTACAAGAGAAGTGTTCAAGAGAAACCTTACAAACCCTAACCGTTTGATGTTGATTCAACCCCTTTTCTTCTTTTAGTCTTGAGCAAGACCAAGACACAATATATCTAATATATTCACCAATTAAGCTACTCATTTGTGAGATTCCAAATCTCCAAAGCCTTCACTCGAGCGAATCCAATTGCGACTATTGACCATAAAAACTTCCAATATGATTCACCGTCCCGCGCTACTCCTTTGAAAGATCTCCAATTTTCAAAGCTTTCACTCGGTCAAATACCTTATTGAAAAGTCTTGAATAAAACCCTCAAATCTACCAAATATCTTGGAGGATAAACCTTAGGTTTTTCCAAGAAAACCCCCATAATTCTCAATCCAATATTATCGGTTACACAAACCTAGTTGGACGTTATCAAACCTTGTCTAGATGGCACCCCAATAAAAAATGATTATGTGTAGTTTGTTAGTGTGTATGCATAGGTTTCAGGTTGAAGATGAAGAGCACTGGTGGTAGGTGATTATAATTTCATCAAGTTGAAATGATGCAAGTATGATGTATTTATAGCTGAGGAAATATGGTGGCAAAGAGGGTAACTTCGAATTTAAAAAATAGTTAAAAAATTTGACCAAACAATCAAGATGTGTTAGCACATACGAGTTATGTACCAACATATGATGTCAAAAATTGACACATGTGTCTACCTGAAACAAGCCATGTGCCAACACTTGAGAAACATAAGCTACAACTTTTATAATTCATCGCGTGTGCTGGCCTAAAAATTGTATGTGCTTGCACATACTGTTATTTTTCATCACGTGTTGACCTGAAATAGACTATGTGCTGGCCTATGCAAGACAAAAGCTACATCCTCTAAAACTACAGTATATGTGCCAACCTGAAAAGCGAATGTGCTGACACATGCTGTTAATTTTTGTGTAGAAAATGATTTTTCATGTATTTAGCCAAATTTAAACTTGTTTTGAATGCTTCCTAAGACCCTTAATGCACGAGTGCACCAAACGACACAGAGATACCATCCAATATATATAAATACCAAGGTTTCCTAGATTTGACATCATACAAAACATCTAATGATGAAGTTACATTCATAAATTGCATATGTGAAACTCATTCTCATGTGTGGTATCTTCTTTCTTCCTTCTACTAGTGAGTTAGCTATGTACATTGTGCCTTCTTGTGCTAGTGATGGAGTTCAGTTTGATTTTTCATTACGGATACGAGCATGCAGTAGAAATAGATCCAGATATGTGGAGCTAATTTGAAGCAACATTTATTATGAATGAGTTATATGAGCTTGAGCATTCAGAATATTGGTTATGGTGGCATAATAATGATACTGGTAGGTATAATAGAATGGTTAGTTATATTGATGTTGATAAGGTACATCAATATGACATGAAAATGGAATCTGTAGTGTACATATATGTTGAACATAAAGGTAAAGGCAATGCACAAGAAGCTGATGTTTAAGAAAATGATGTTTGTGGTGTTGAACAAGATGAAGTAGGTAATGCTAGTGGTGTTGAACAAGATGGAGTAGGTAATGTCGGTGGTGTTAAAGTAGGAAAAATGTGGGTTTTTAACATTTGTAAGTAAAGTTTGGAATAAGCACACATATAGAATGAAGAAGTGGGTTAGAACACACACGTGCGGTGGGGTATTAAATAATACTCTACCACTTCAAAGTGGGTTGCTAAAACTATGGCGGCTAGGGTGACATCTTCTGATGGTGTTAAGATTCATGATATTGTCTTTGAGATTAGGAGTAACTTTTCTGTTGGTATAACTATGAACAGGACATGGAAGGCCAAACAAATTGCAAAGACTTTGATCGAAGGTGATGTAATGAAATAATACAACCTTTTGTGGAGATACTGGCACATGAATAACCTATACCTAATGAAACTCAAACTGTTGTTGACTTTGAGTTTGAAATGCTTGTTGTAAATCATGCAACATCATTTGAGGCAACTCAACCTCAACCAAATATTTTTGAAACTGTAAGTGTTGTATCTACATAAACTCCAATAAGTACGTCAGTTCAGAGCGCACCTATTACACCAGCTCAGATTGCACCTGTTATAACTTCATAAACATACTCTGGTATACACCATTGTCTGCACCTGACTACATTTGGAGTGCATCTGTTCCAACAACTGATGATGTACCTGTTTCTACTACTCCTAGAGTTCTTAAACCAATTGTATTTATTATAACACTTGATAACGATTTGGAATTATTATGTTAACGTGTTGTATCTCTAATACTCTATATTTTACAAAAGAAGAAAAAAAACTAACTAAAAGTTACAACAAAAGTGGAGTTAAGGAGAAGTGACAGGACAAAGGTCCTTAAATAAAAAAATCTTAAGGGAGAAGGAAGTAATCAATTACAACCTATGGATGTTTAGAAATTAAGCATTTTGTTATGATGTATTTTGATGCCTTTCGGATTCGTTAGTTTATGTATGATGTGTCTTTGTTGTATTTTGAGACAAAAAGTCTATGACTTTTGCCTTTATGTAATTCTAAGACATATAACATCATTATGATTTATGTATGGTGTGTCTTTCTTTGTTGTATTTTGAGACAAAAATATATGCTTTTTGGCTTTATGTAATTCTGAGACATATAAGATCATTATGATTTATGTACGGTGTGTCTTTCTTTGTTGTATGCCTTTATGTTCTACAAAACTAAGAAAAGACATGATATACAAGGATGACATACAAACATATCCTTAACAAATAAGGATGTAATACAAACAAATCATTAACAAACATGGATGTAATACAAATAAATCATTAAGAAAGAGGGATGAAAACAAAAAGCTACAAACATATAGAGACCAAAATAAAAAATATCATATGTTCTTATTCATTCAATAATTCAGCCTTACAGGAACGAAATTCAACAATTATCCTTCTTCTAGGGACTAAAACCAACAAAAATTATAGACACCATGAACATGAAATTCACCACCATTTATGGTAAGCAAAGAACATACACCATGATAGAGACAACAAAAACTTCAACAATTTGACCTTCTTCCTTGTATTTTCCAACTTCAATTTCATCTTCTATTTTTTCCTAACTTCAAGATCTTTAATGATGCAACCTAATTTTTGAATTACCTCTGAGAAATTACATCCGGTTGAATTTTTGGGTTGAGTTGATGTGTTGCATTCAAATTCATCATCTCATATGAATAGCTTGCAGCCAAATCTGAAATTTGAACATTTCTAGAATCTTCGTTTAGGGTTTTCAGTTGAATTGGAGATGAACATCCTCATTGCTTTATTGCAACCACAAACTGGAATTTGAGACTCAAAATAATTACAAACAAATGATGTTGCCATGGTTGAATTTGCATAGACAATTTGAAGAGAAAATTGAAAGAGGGGAAAAAGAGAGGAAGAAGAATGAAATAAAGTTGATCCTAAAGCAAAATAATGTATTTTTTAGATTTGGTCCTCCTTTTTAAGGACCATACACTCTGTTTTTCACGTATTAACCACAAAAAAATATAAAACATTTTCACGTGTGCGCCGTTAGCCAAGTATATTTTTTTAACAGAATTCTAATCCAGAGATTATCGTCAATAAAAATAAGAGATATAAAGACTCAAATAAAAAAAAATATATGAATCAAAATCAAAATCTCACTAACTTATGGAGACTAAAAGACTATTTAAACCAAAAAAATAAAAAACTAGAACAGAAAATGTAAATTTAAAATTTCGCCTATCTTTTTGGCTTAGATGTGAAATAGTTACGAACCAATTTTCTTTCATTATGAGCATACTAGTAGTGTGAAGCCTTTTACCACCACAAACTCAATGCTGCCACTACACCAATTTTCTCCTCATTTCGTCCGTTTGAACCAGTCACCACAACCACCTCTGATTCGGTGGGGGAGAATGAAATTTCAACAACAAAAATCGCAGCGATTTGATGCTGAAAAAGTGAACAAATCACAATCGCATTCATTACTAATGGTAAATTATGTTAGTTTAATTACTATCGTTTTTTTTATCTTCATCAAATAAATTAATATCAATCTTTATTATTATTTTAAAGACAGTTCATTGTTGATGTAAAATAACATTTTTTTCTCTATTTTTTTTCTTCTTTTTTTTTTTCTTTTTCAATTTTTCTTTTTTATTTTATTATTATGCAGCACATGTTTGATATATTATGAAATCAATTTAAGATGAATAGCTTCAATTTAAATTTTGGGAATTTGGTCAAAATCTAAACCTCATCATCGTCAAAATTTTGGGAATTTTGGGAATTTCTATTACAAATTCTGAATTTCAACAAGGTTTGTGATAGAAATCACTGTAAAGATGAGAAGAAGATGGTCTTTCTACATGGATTTTCTACCAGTTGTGGTGATTATAAGCTTTGAATGTGTTGACATGGGTTTACTCACTTTGTTCAAAGCAGCAACACTTGAAGGAATGAACAACCATGTCTTTATTGCTTATGCTTATGTTGTTGGTACTTCTGTTCTCTTACCTGTCACTCTTTTCGCCAGAAGGTTCAATAAAATTAACATGTCACTGTGATTTCATCAATTTAACATGTCACATGCACTTATATTAAATTTCATTTGACAAATTTCTTTATGTGTTTTCTTTTCCTGTTTTTTTTTTGCAGAGCAAGAGTGGTTCCTCCACTTACTTTCTCCATAATATGGAAAAGTGTGCTTCTTGGGGCAATAGGGTAATGGCAAAACTGACCTTATACTTTTCTACAATATTTGATTTGAATGTTGTTGAGATATCAATTGACTACTAGTATAATCATCAGAGTCATCTTAAGTTTTTGGAGGCCTTCTGTAGGATAGTCACAGTTCAACTATGAGATTCTATTTAACCATGTTTTATCAGTGATAAAGATTTTATGAGACTCTATTTAAGTACGATTTAACCGTAACAAATTCTAGGCATGTGTGATATCCCATCTTGCACAGCCTCATAGATGACCATGATAATTATGAATACATATCAATTGATATCTCAACAAATGTTAAGTGATTTTAGTATACTAGTAATTTTGTTAACTAGTGTTAGATTTTAGTTAGTTTTGGTCAAAGTGGTCTCATTAATTTTATGCTTGTGATGACTTGTGTTTCATGTTTTGTAATTGTATGGTCCTGTTATGCAGATGTGGATCTCAGATTCTGGGGTATATTGGTATTAACTATAGTTCTCCAACACTTTCTTCAGCAATTGCTAATCTAGTACCTGCTTTCACTTTCATGCTGGCTGTCATTTTCAGGTTTGATTGTTATATATTTGAATTTTGCAGATTCTTACTTTGTTTATTGCCCACTTATTTTGTTTCCTCTTATCATTTTGCAATTAAGGATGGAAAAGTTAGTTTTAAAGAGTAGAAGTAGTAATGCGAAAGTAGTGGGAAGCATAATATCAATAGCAGGTGCTTTTGTCATGACTTTTTACAAAGGAAAATCCATCTTAAATTACTCACCACTTCATCAACCAATTGGCTTTCTCAACTCAGTGGATTCAAGTTGGGCCATTGCTGGCATTATTCTAACAGTTGACTACTTTCTGCTTTCACTATGGTATATTTTACAGGTAATGTTATGCAAAATGAAGATCAATAATTGACTACTAATATGTAGATATATCGATAATTGTTTGAAAGAAATGGAAGTGATTGACAGCAACCGCCTGTGTCGGTGAAAGACACCAACACATGTCAGACACTAGATATGTCTTTAATATGAAGTGTTGGCTATTTATTAGAATGTGTGATAATTGGCTTGCTAAATTTTCTCAGTGGCACCACATGTGTCTATGAAGACATCAACGCATGTCAGATACCAGACACATCTTCAATCTAAAATATTGGTTATTTTTACTAGAATATGTGACAATTAGCTTCCTTAACTTTTCATCACCGTTACTAGAAATTTCTCTCGATAACAGATGGTATGTTGGAAAGTGTGTGTTAGAGAAACTGAGAAAATGTTGTTAGTATTACTCTTCTCTAAATTATGCTTACTTGTTTTTCAGGAAATGCAATTCCTTTACAAATAAATATTTCTTCATTTCTTGTTATTTAATGAGAGCTTCAAATATTTAGTCCTAACAAGTTTCAGTTCCTATATTAATTTAACAGGTACATATCTTGAAAGAGTTCCCAGATGAAGTAACTTTAGTCTTGTTATACTCCACAACTGCAACAATCATATCAATAGTTGTAGCTTTGTTATCAGTTCCAAATGCAAGTGATTGGAAAATAGGACTAAATCTCTCACTCATCTCCATACTTTCTTCTGTAAGATACACTGCAAACTACTGCTACACTTTTATATTCGTTGTTTATGTATTGAATGTAATTTAATCACATATGTAAACTGCATGATTATGCAATTTGTTGTCGAAAGTTGATATCAAGTATAGTCAATATCATAACTAAAGATTTACACTGTTAAGCTTGTGCGGTTTATTGATGACAAATGTTTTCTTTCGCAGGGAATATTTGGAAAGTTAATAGGCAATCTAATTTATGCCTGGTCAGTTCACTTAAAGGGGGCTGTCTATGTAACATCATTCATGCCACTCCAAATTGCTATTTCTGCTATCTTGGGAGTTATATTCCTTGGTGATACTCTTCATATTGGAAGGTATGGTCAATTTTTTATTCTTGGTTAAAACACGGGGAACAAATATATTAGGCTCCCACCAAACAGGACTGTTCATGGTTCGGTTTAAGAAGAAATCAAATCAAATTGAAATGAACTATTACTCATTTGGTATAAGGTTTATGTACTGGTTCTGAGGTTCTAGGTCGAACCGAAAAATACATTTCCAGAAAACGAAACTGATTCTTTGTGAAACTGTACCAAATTGTTTTATTAACACTTTTGAAACCAAATAAAAAATCAAGCCTAAATGAATATTAACACTATTTTAGAAAACCAAACTGAATTGCTAAACCAAATCAAACCATACTGAAAATAACTGAAATGTGATGGATAGTTCATGAACTAAATTAAACTCACATTTCTGTTTTATTCGGCGTGATTTTGTTTGGGTTATCCGTTCAGCTTTTGGTTTTTATGCTAAGCCTAACCACTAGGGGAAGCATGGAAAAATAGATTTACCCAGTCATATATCTACTACCAGAGATTGTGACTGTTCATAGCATAAACACATATCATATGAGTGTTCTGATATAAGTTATTTTTATAACAAAAGACAATAAAGTCAATTTTTTCTTCACATATTTTGTAAGTTGTTTTCATAGATTATTTTAAAGAGTTGTTATTTTTGTAAGTTCTGTCAAACATTGTCAAAAGCAATTATTTTAGTAGATAAGTTGAAGTAAATTAAAACGGGAGTTTAGTTTAGTAGCTAGATCTCCATACCGTGCGTGCTTATTCATCCTCAATCATAGACCAATCACATTTTGGCATTGTTACTCATTTCTGATTTCTAACTTAATGATATGGTTGTTGAAGTGCTCATTTGTGTAAATTTTTTGCATTTTGCAGTATATTTGGAGCCATAATCATCTCAATTGGCCTTTATGGTGTATTATGGGGCAAAACAAAAGAAGAGATAGAGGAAGATGTTGGTAGTCTGGAGTCATCATCTACATCTACAGAGAATGCACCTCTGTTGCAAAATTATGGAACTCAAACTTTTGAAAAGAAAATAGATGGAAATGTATAAAAACATGATTATTAAATCAGAGATTCAATTAAACACTAGAATTCTTATTAGTCGAGTCGTGAATCAAATTTTGTAATGAATAGCAAGATTTTTTTGGGTCATGTAACCTACTGTTAGAGTTCACTCTTTAAAGGTGAATGAGTGGGATGTTGTGGGTTTGAACTCGCGACCATGTACCTGATGTCCCTGCATAGTTATCCACTGAGCTGACAGCAAGATTCGTGCACAGTAAAGTATAACATTTTAAGTAAAAACTAGTTTTGGTCCTATTTTGATATATTATATTGGGTAAAACATTTCTTGGCCCATTGTCACGTTGATCAGTAAGGTTGAGTCTCCCTCTCGGTTGGATGATTTTCGGTCAATTTCTATAATGGAGTCTTTTTATAAGCTTGTTGCCAAACTGATGGTAACTAGGTTGTCTCAGGTTATGAACAATCTCATCTCTTCAAATCAATTGACTTTTCTTAAGAGTAGATTATTAGTGGATATGTTGGTGGCTATAAATGAGCTGCTCGATCCGGCAAGAAAAACTAAAAAAGCTTTTCTTATTTTCAAGGTGGATTTTGAAAAATGTATGATTCAGTTAGTTGTAGTTTTTTGGATTACATGCTTGTCATGTTTGATTTTAATTCTAAGTGAAGAGCTTGGATTCGTGCTTGTGTTTTTTTTTTGACATTCTTGCATTTTTGTTAAACGGTTGCCTGATCCAAAAAATTAATGTATTGAGGGGGTTGAAGCAAGGTCACCCCTGACTTCTTTCCTTTTCTTGCTTGTGGTTGAAGGGTTGAATGGTTTTTTTAGCAGAGTTATAGACCTCGATCTTTTCTCGAGGTTTAAAGTTGGCTTCTTAGATTTATGTGTCTCCCGTCTCCACTATGCAGATGATAATATCATCTTGGTAAATGCTTTATTTGATAATCTTTGGTCAATTAACTATATTCTACAGGGGTTTTGAGCTGGCTTTGGAGCTTCATGTTAATTTTGAGAAGAGTAGTCTGATAGGGGTTAATGTGGATCTTGTGTAGAGTGATGGTGGTGTGATATGATCACAATATTTCATGGAGCCATATGCCTACTAGCCTCTGACATTGGTCACACTTCTTAATGAAGGAGATGATATCCCATCCTTAAGAGTTTGTTGGTGAGGACTTTCCCGATAATGTGACAACTGCATGCTCCTTTGTGTACTTCAGCAAGTACCAGGGTGGTTTCATGCTTGCTTAGGCATGGTAGCATTGGAGAAGCTCTCCCCATTTTATAAATTCTTCTTGAGAGAAGGGTGTATTTAACAACCTACGTTCGAATTCTCCTTGCTTCCCCTTCGTCTACTGGGAGTTCGTTCGCCTGTTGGTAACGCAGTATGGGCGACATCCAGCTAGACTTGGAGACAAGATCCAAACAGTAGAGCTCGCCCGCCTCGATACTAGAGGACATGAGAGTCTCACAAATCACTATTTTGTTAAACCCTATTGTCTTCGAAGTGGCAAGCTTAGACAAAAGGCCTGCTTTGAAATTCTATTCACTAGGAACATGTTCTATTTCAAAATAAGTAAAGCGAGAGGTCATACTTCGTACCTTTTGCAGATATATTATTAGTTGGACTTCTTTTTTCTGGTTCTATCCGGAGACTTGGTTGGTGACTAATTGGGAGTCTCTTTTGGCTTTCAGTCTCGAGGCTCCCATTTCTAAGGTGAGAACTATGATTATAATAAGGGCCTATATTCTTCCTGATTGTTGTTGGTCATGAACTCGAACTTCAATGCTTGCTCGATAAGTATGTCATCAGGTCCTTCTAAGACTATCCCAATGTTGCTCCCTTTCACATTTGAGGCGCCATCAGCTGATAGCTCCCACTTTGTGGGCGTCTCCTCGTCCACATACAAGTTGAACTCTGCCACAAAATATGCTAGAGCTTGGGACTTGATGCTTCCTCTTGAGAAGTACTAGATTTCATATTCTCTGAGTTTCATTGCCCAAGACACCATCCTTCCCTTCAAATATGACTTCTTTAGGAATTTCGAACATGATAATTAGTTTTAACAAGGATTTTACGACCTGGAAATAAGATTTTGATGATAACTTTACATGGTATCATAAAGAACAATTGTATATTCTAATGGTTTCGTTCTAGTGTGTAGTTGCTGCTGTAATGTTCTAACTCTGGTATCAAGGCGTGTGACGTCATTAGATTATGAATATAAACACTACTGAAAGAAAACATTTGGTTACATGTTACAGTAAAAGTCAAAATTCTGGAATTCGTCTTATGAAACGGTTCTTAGGAACGTTAGTACAAGAGGTTCTGATCGTGACTTTGTGGTTAAGCTTTGGAGGCCTTCTAAAGATTTTCTTCTGTGTGTTCCAAGTTCTGAAGATTATGAAGACGAGGTTTTGCTGAACAAGTTCTGATGATCTAAAGAAAAAACAAGTTTTTACGACCAAGTGCCGGAGACTCTAAAGACAAGGTTCTGATAGGACAAGTTATGAAGACTCCAAGACTTAGGTTTTAAGACTTAAGAGTGATTCTTCTACAATAAGCTTCAAACATTCAAATTATCTGAAGCCTCTGAAGATTAGAAGAAGTTCAAAATGGTTAACGTGTGATGGTGTACAAAAGGTACAAAAAATGCTCTAAGACTTCTACCCTCTAGGGTGGTGTAAGGACAGTTCTTTCGTATTGTATTATCAACCACTCTCATTATGACCATTGGGAACAAGCAGCTAGATTTCCGATTACCTTTCCACCCCTTCAACAGATTTCTTTTACAAACTATAAAATGAAGACTTGGAAGCTGAAGAAAATTAAGAATCAACATTACAACAAAAATCTATCGGATTAAATCAAGCTCAAACAAAACTACACCAAAGCACTGTATAACTTTTTATAGAAATATTTTGTGTATAGTTTTGTAAATAAGTAAGGATTTGTTGCTTGTATCTTGCTGTAAAACACTTACGTATTTTTATTTGTACTAAAACGTTTGTGTAATCTGCTTAAAATACGTAAATTGTAATACACTGAAAGTATTCAACTATTATTGATTGATTCTTTGAGTGACCAAGTGAAGTTATGATCTCAAGAAGACTCTTAATACAGTTTAATTGGATTTGCAATAAGGATCGACTGACTTATTGGGGGTGTCAATAAGGTTGATCTGACTTCTGTGGGTTATTTGTAATCAGTTTGGTTATAGTGGATTAAGTCCTTGTTGAAGGAAAATCACCTTGAGGCATGGGCAGGAGTAACTTAGTTAACAGTGAACCAGCATAAAAATAATTATGTTCATTTATTTTTATGTTCTAAGTTAACTTGGTTTTTCATCAACGAAAAGATTTAAAATTGCTTTTGGTGAAACCCAATTCAAACCCCCTTTCTTGTGTTTCTCACACCTTCAGATCCCATCCTCAGGCGCATGAGAACAAGAGTCGACACGGGGAAGGTTTTTAACTTTGAGAATTTCTCCTCACATTCTATTGTCCATTCAAATTCTTTCTTCTTCAGGGAAACAAAGAAGAGGAAAACCTTGTCGCCCGCACATGAGAGGAAGCGAGATAGGGAAGCAAGATGACTTGTAAGTTATTACACTTTCTTGACGTTAGTGGGAGTTCTTATGGTGATGATTGTCTGCAACTTATCTAGGATGGCTTCAATTCTTCTTTTTGTCAGCATGAACCCTAAGAACTTTCCATTTTGAACCCCGAATGAGCAATTGGTGGGATTCAAGCACATATTGTACTTCTGATGACTACAGGACATCCTCTAAATCTTTAGCATGTTTGTGCCCCTAGGTAGTCTTCACTATCATATCGTTAACATACACCTCTATGTTCCTCCAAATTTGATGGGGAAACATGATGTCCATGAGCCACTGGTAGGTGGCTCCAACATTCATGAGGCTAAAGGGAATGCCCTTATAGTAGTAGTTACCATGATTCGAAATGAAGGTAGTTTTTGGGGTGTCTAGAGGATCCATCTGAATTTGGTTATACCACGAATAAGCATCCATGAAGCTCAACATGTGGTAGCCTGAGGATCTGTCGATATGGCGATCAATGTCTGATAGTGAATACAGGTCCTTAGGATAGAGGGCGTTCAGATCGGGGAAGTCCACACAGATGTGCCATTTATTGTTTGCTTTCCTCACCAATACCATGTTGGCTAACTAGGTAGGGTATTTTATTTACGTAATGAACCTGATGTCGAATAGCTTGCCTATTTCCTCGTCAGTGGTTGCCTTCTTCTTCTCACCAACTTTTCGCTTCCTCTACGCCACTGGTTTGGCAAAGGGCTCAATGGCGAGGCGATGGCTCACCACCTTAATGTCTATCTCGGGCATATTAGAGGGGGCCCAATAAAACAAGTCAACATTTTTGATGAGTTGGTTGAATAGCTCATTTTCTTTTTCCTCGATAATTGATGTGCCTATCTTTGTCATCTGATAAGTTGAAGGGCCTATTCGAACCTCCTCCAGGTCTTCCATCGGTGTGAGTATCTCAATGCCCACGCCTAACCTGAGATCACAACTATCAAGGTGTGCATTTAGAACTTCAGAAAAGGGGGCACCCACAAGGGTGAGATTTTCCCTTTTTATCGCAAGGAAATTCTGGTAGCATTCTCTAGCAATCACCTGGTATCCTTGAATCATGCCGACTCACCCTCCAGGAAGTGGGTACTTCAAGAACAAATACTGTGTAGAAATAATCTCCCTTAGTGCATTGATGATGGGTCGACCTAGGATGATAATATAGGACTATAGGACATCTATAATAAGGTAGATGGCATCTATCGCCTTGGAGTTTGTACCCTCACTAGAAAATCCTATAACGAGCAACTGAACACTTTGACATTTTTAGGATTGAGTTGAAGTTTCTAGAAAGCATCCCAGAATAGGACATCAACAGAGCTCCCAAGATCTACCAAGACTCGGTTGATATCCTAGTTGCTATGTTGTACAGTGATGACTAGAGGGTCATTATTTTGAGGGTTAACTTTGATG